TCTCAGACGACAAGACCATTTCAATCTCTTCCCAAAACACTACGCATTGAACATATAGAATTAAATCTAAGCAAGCCTAATCGAGCCCCAACTCTCAGAAAACCGACCTGTAAAGACATATCAGTTCTACCACAGCGCGCTAACAAAAGATGTCGTTTGAACCGAATTGATCATGCGCCGGCTTAAGTAATCTAGACCGATTCGAGTATTGATTAATGAGTTGACCAACACTGGACACTTTAGGCATTGCATACGTGGCAATTTTTATCTTTAATTACAAGACTTTTTACAATATTACTGGCCGGCCACGACTCGTTTGGTCTCTGCATGAAATCGAATTTCACCTTACTAACTTTGAAGATATAGCTCTTACTTAAATGTAAACCCATCTGTGATAATTGGAAATATTTGAATTGTTATACTGTTACGTCCAGGTTTTGCTCGTTCCAGTTATTGAAGTACGGACTATCGATCTACTTGCAAATTACGAACCCAAATTAACAACAGAACCAAGCTCCGATTTAGATACCAAATTTATTCGTAATTCACAAGCAATCGGCCAAATGTCGTTCTAACAACAATAATTATAACAATTACAAAACAAACCTTCAATTTTGTAGGTCCCCGGAGCAAAACTCCCAAATACCAAACCATAGATAAAGAGAGCACCAAAATACCAAACCAAAGACAAACCAAAATGTCCGAAATAATGATAGAAACAAACAAGTTCAAAAGTTAAGTAAAACAATTACATCCAAAAACACAGTAAATTATTAATGTACAATAAAAGGTTTTAATCCGCCAAATGTCTTCAGTTCTCCCGTAACAATACGAACCGGGGATACTAGAAATAATGCAGTTTAGACCAAGAAGAACTATGTGAGCACGAACGAACGTATTGTATTTAGAATTCGAAATCAGTCAGTTATCCCTTAAAAAAGAGTTATTAGTTCATATAACCACCACACAATCACAGCTCGATATTTCTCCATAAAAAGCTGGTTCTCGGTTAATTTTGATGTCACTGTCACTAACATGAATAGATGTAATATTAACCATTTTACAGATACTCTATCATCCACAGAAGCTCATACAAATAAATAAGAATGGACATGTAGTTCCAAACCAAATACCAAGCTACTAATGCCTTTGTTCATCGGGGACTCTTCTAGATTCTTCCGCGTCAACATTCTGTCAGGATATTCCTACTTTTTTCTCAGCAGGACTGTACATTCTCCACATCCTCAACCTTGAAATTACAAACTATATTATCAGGATTACCAAACGTTTTAAGAAATAGTTTGTAGCACGTAGCCACTCAAATAAATCATAATAAAGACCAAGATAGGTTGGAGTTTTACGGTTGATAACGAGCACTGGCATTAGTCACATATTAAATAACAATTCACTATTTTCCATATACTTTTCTGGAAAACCTTCCTGTGGGAACCACTGGCGCGTCCAGCCTTGTAGAGTATCTGAACTCAAAATCCATTTACATTCAAATGCATGAAGCTCACCGATCTCCATTGTATCATCTATCGGTTTATACTTTGACAGTATATGAAATCGTCAGAGTTTGGTCATGCATCCAGATTTTTATCAAGGTATCATATTATACCAGTGACAATATAGCGTGCAATATGCTCATACTCCTCTACGTGTTTAGATATCCCATGGTTAACCATAAGGTTGGACCCTGAAAGGTCAGAGCCTTTTGATATTCACTGACGTATCATCTTTTATATAATCACGAATAATCCTGGATTCTTGAGATGATGCACAGTTGTTTCTATCCTGATTCCAAATCATTACACAACCAGACTCTTCCAGTTTTTTTTTAACAAAATTGAGTAACCATAGTATATCTCTCCAAACACATTTGCGAATTAATACTTTGATTAAAGGTTGTCCATAAATTATAGTTGCTTGTACGTCATTTCCTTAGGTCCATTATTTGTCTGTCTGTGAATTGAGTGCAGAGGCTCGAAGATATATTTGGTAGAGTATGAACATATCGGTAAGTGACTAATCTAAGCTGACTAATAGTTCTAGAAGAAGTTGAGCACAGCATACTCACTCGTGATCTGTAGCGGATGAATGACAGAGCGCCACCAGCTAGGTGGGTCCATTGAAACGAATGAGGTCGGCATCAAATGTCGACAGTTGTGATCGGCTTAAATATGAGCTATAAATTCATCAGAACGTTTTAGCGAACCTTCATAGCTTGTAAGAAATCACTTCCTCGATGGTTTGTAATAACGGCAGAATTTAAGCTTTCCTTATTGAGACAAACATTCTTTTATTTATGCAAATTCATTACTGTTTTATTTATGTATGATCTGGCAATACTTCACTGAAAGAACGTATCTCCTCTCCTCTCGGAGTCTAAGAGAATCGATATTTGTTTTCGTGGTTTTGACATTTTCTGTTTCAGCAGCAGAATGAGACGGCTTTAGAGTTGTGATTAATTATTTCCACTTAGACTATGTAATTAACGAGTTATCAAGCGTTTCACTAGAACCATCTTTAATGGTCAATAAAGAAGAGTGTTCTGGGGACATTCTTAAATTTTCCAGACCTAGGATAGATGATCCACAATCAGTGATGAGAAATTCACAAGTTAGGACTGAAGATTAATCGTTTTTAGTTAACAAAGTACAGTACCCAAGAATATGAAGTTTATGACCTGTAATATTCGAAATAGAAAATTTTGTAGGCTTGATTATAGAATCGAGATTTGATAACTTCAAATTTCTAACCAAACCGATAAACTTGATAATACCAGTGTCAAAAAATAAAATTGTGAAAATCACCACTGGACAAATACAATCGTTCTTGACTATTATATGAATTACTGGAAGTTGTATGTGAGGATAGTATATGAATATTAAAACCACCCAAATTGCATATTTTAGTGTTATTTGAGGCGAAATGAACAGTAGTTTTACAGACGGACTTGATGTGTCCCACTTTACCACATGTAGCATGACGAAAGACACAAGATGTTCGTAAGTGAAGTTTACCACAAAACAAGCATCAACCAATGAATTGATATCCATTTTTTCATGAGAACGAGCATTACTGTTAATTGAATACCTGCCCGTATGACCTTGAGCACGCATCTGATTAGAATAAAAAAGTAATGTCGTGGAATCCTTTATGTCCTGGCAGTCGATTCCATGCCCTGTCTCATAAATAATACGTGAAGTTCCAACATCTTGGAAGGAGCGTTATGACATTCGTCTAAGCTGTTTTCCTAGATTTGGTATGTTAATCCCTACATTTATTCAGTCGTGCAGTTGGATATGAGGTTGATCATCACAATTACACTTGGCGGATTGTTTCTGCAATTCAAGAACATATTCTCTGACATTTTGGTGTTTCTGATGAGTCATTCTGTGAAATTCAGTACAGTTTAGCTGATTTTGTATTAGTTCTTTGAGAGTTATGGAGGCAAGTGAAATAGGCTTATCTGGGAATGCCGAAGATTTGGTGAGCTACAGGCACCCTTGCGATGGCATTGAGCCACAATTTTACCATCCTTAACATTCTTCTTGGTCATGCTCTAGATTTTAAACCTTGCGAAAGATTCCCAGATGTATATCCAACTGTATCCACAGGCCCAATCACGATGCCTATATAATAATTAGAAGTATACGTATTAATGTGCTAACTAGGAATTCCCGAAATAGTTCAATGTAAGGAAAGGAGAACTAAATGAGCACAAATGAAGGCATCTTATTTGAAATTCGTGATCAGCGGACAATCAAATACAAAGGAATCATCAGTTAGTGTAAATACCAAGAGAAATCATCCTGTAAATTTACAGGCATCAACCAGAAAAGGGAAATGGATCTGGTTTCAAATGTGCATAATCACATAACTCAATTAATACAAAACACAATTAAATTCAACTGGCAAGAGCTCAGTCAGAGTATGGAGTTAGATGGATTTTATCACCGCGCATTAATTTTCACTGGAGAACTCCCCTGTAGTCACAGTTCACAGATCAGTAACAGATTCAGAAGTGGTTTGCTTAGGTGTCCGATAGTCTACTGCCAATTTGTCTACTATTTCTATGTTTAGATCCGATGGACCACCGTACATTGGATAAATAACTGAGAAACAGGGATGTGATATGTGAAATATCGCAGACATGGTAGTTAACGGGACTCAACGACTCTTTCTAAATTTCTCATGGATAAATGCGTCCATGATGTATGGCGGTGACAGTGGTTGTTACAACTAATGGTGTAGTATTTGTTCGCACTGGTTGTTTATCATGTACGTCAGACCTAGAGTAGTTTAACCAGGGACCTGGAGGTAAACAGATCACAGCACTGACAGAAATATCCTTTGACGCTAGTGACAGAAATGAATTTCCAAAGCTCACAGCTGTAGACTATAACAGTTGACAAACAATGGGTATTAACGAAGGATACCATTCATTAAACTGGTTCAAAGAATCTCCGGAAGATGAAGAATAGCCATCTTCGTTTATTAAACAATAAAATTAAATAGTTGAACTTTTAAATCCTAAAGAGACCAGATGCTACTGCATTAATGTGTTAAAGCAACGTTTAAAATATGGTTTCCAGTAAATATGACATTTGAGCCACCGATAACTCCTTTCGTTTCTGTGATCACCACTTATTTGGCAGTTCGACGAAGTGTGACCTAGAGTTTAAGTTAAGAAATCTGGTCACATGATAATCCTTTCAATGACACAGCTAAAGCCTACAAAAGGTAACTTTTTTCAGTAAATAACTAAATACTCATGGACATTCCAATTTCAGATAGATCAACAGACAAATGCAAACATTAAGCCGATGTTTCCCTTATCGGTTTTATGTTCATGTTACGAGCGACTTCCTTAACCTTATTGCTGTGGTTATCACTTTAAACTGACTTACTTTTTTTTCTAAGTCTAAAACGACAGAGTTCAGCATCAAAAGAGATTGGAAATGAGAAGCATAAAACAGAAAACACTAGAACATTTAAGACATGAAATGAGACCACATATATTCATACATTTTTGCTTAAAATTACATTTATGGGGTTATCACAGACCAAATACATAAAACAGGAACCATAGTTAAATATAATACAGCAGAATACAACATCTTCGGTGCAAAAACTGTCCAAATAAATAAATGTGATTGTAGAAAGAAACAAAATGTGCCACATAATGTAATAGGTAATACAATAAAACCTAATACAAGACAATTAAACTTTTCACCAAAATGTTTATATCTAGATAAAACAAATCGACAAAAATAGGCTAATTGCCATATTAATGGTCCAGAGTAAGTGTAAAAGGCTAAAAGTAGACCGGCTATTATTGGTTGATGATATCGAAGACCAACATACGCTGCAGATAGATCAATGGTAGAAAAGCTCAAGGAATTCCCCTGAAATAATATTTTAAGAAAAATGAACAGTTAACAATATTGGATTATGAGTTATCTGAAGTGATTTTCCAGTATTTCTTTCCATAATTTTTTGTCCATTGTTGATTGAACAACACTTGAATCTCAGGTTTGAATATAAGTATTTACAGTATACTAAGAAATTTGAAAGAACCCTTTTGATAGGCTAAAATGTAAGTATAGCATAAGTGATATAATCACTTAAGATTTATTATTCACTATGTCGGTTCCATCGCACCAGCAGCTAGGTGTGATTTGTTGGAATTTATTCTCGATGTATAATAAGTCATTATCTGTCATGTTCGTCTTCTTTATTGCATTTAGCCTGATTAGTTTTGCTTTATTCCTAGCATAAGTTACCTTATGATGACTACTTGACGTCTACTCAAAGATTTCATAGATGGTGGTTAGATGGTATAGGGCGAAATCATAAAAATTGTGAGATCTCCTTCGACACTGTAGTCAAACTATAATGGTGTCAACTAACAATCACAAAATTTACGTTCCTAACTATCATTAGAACTGTGTTATTTTAATTTGAAAGTTTTCTAAAGTGTGCGAACTTATTTTTAGATGAACATATTACTGTTAAACTACTTATTCGAAATGAAAAAATGCAGTTAATTTTTATATACACATCATTATAGGCAAAAGCAATTAAATCCATCCAAAAACCCACATAGTAACATGTAGGTGTACTGGTCAGTTCAATTAATTTTTTAAATATAAACATTCATTTAAATAGGATTAACGGATTCAAACACAATATTCCAACATGATTTATCAGATTTTATTACCTAGTTGATAATTAAATGATAACTCAGTGATAAAAAGACGTAAACCGTTTAATCATTATGTTGTAAGCGTCAGTAATTTTGTGCAAAACAACAATTCAAGTATTTCAATGAGAATGTGTAAATATAAAAAAAAGTAACACCACCAACTTAAAAGTATGTACCAGCACTACAAATCGGGATCTCAGCTATTACTTACTATTATTTCAAGGAACAAAACCAAGCAGTATGATAGCAGAGTAAATAAAAAAAGCTAATACTTATATTAATAGTCAGGATTACTATGAAATGGAGGTTGACTTTATATGCAATAAATCTAATTATATATATATATATATATATATATATATATATATATATATATATATATATATATATTACTTACTTGTTGGAAAAAGCTCACCCAACCTTGAGTCCAGTAGATAAGCCATGAACAGAATGGCAAAATATAACGAAATGTATTATGCGATGAATGAATACCCGAATAATGAAATATTACTTGTATCATTTCGGATGTTAACGCCTCTTTAATCCATATACTAAGCCATAGAATTGTAATCACAGGTTTACCAAGTAAACACACAAGTATATTTAATGTAGATAACGGATGAACAATTGAATCCCAAAATGTTTTTGATGAATTTACTGATGTTTGACCGAATAAACGATTAGCATTTTTATTTAAACGTATACTTCTTGATTTATACAAACAAAATGCATCTATTAAGCATAACAAGTAAACAATTCGAGCTGATTGTATAGCATCTTCACTGAAAGTAAGACAAATAAAAACACTATAAATCAGTATTAATTGTAATAATCTTACGTTTAATCTTAAAATATTTGTCAGATGAAAATTAACATTTGGTAACAATTCGAGCTAAGTGGATATTGAACTAAGTAAATAAATGAAATCATACAAACAGGATCAGTTCCTGTTTTCAAATTGCAAAGTTTCAAATATTATCACATTTGAATTGTTGCCATTACGACAGTATATAAATTATGAAAAATAAACTCGATGTACACATCATAGATGATATACCTAAAAAGTTAGCGAGAAACATTTGAAAGTTTATTGTTTACTCAGGTGATGGTTAGAAACTCAGAGTTACACTTTGTTGCTGTTGTATAATAGTTTCAGAATTAATGCAAAGTAATAGCTTATACAATAAGTGCACAAGACAACTGCCTACTTTACGAAGAACATGAAAAATAAGATAATAATTAGCGTATACAATTTCAAAACTAGGAAGGTTGTTATGACCATACAATAAAGTGAACATGACTCTTTTATACAGAGAGGTAAGGCTTGAAATGGCAAACTGTTATCGCGTCAGGTGTGCGCAAATTCATCATCAAAACCTGTTTAGAGCCAGTTCTTTTGATTCTATACATAATCTTGAAAGACGATTCTTGTGGTGGAATGTGACTAGAGTTGATCATCTGTTCAAGGATTAAGCTGTTGATTGATTTGTATACCTCTCTAGCTAGCTATGCAGGGTGATTCTCGGGTATTTGTTTACCGAGTACACTCTTGGTACGGCCGATATAACGTGCTCTACAAAGGCAAATGAACTGATAAATACACAATGATGTGACCCAAAGCTGCAGTTTTATCCTTGACACTTCTCCAGTAAAATTCTTACTGCAGGAAACTACTCGGAGCTCAGTTGAATAAAATGCCTTTCACCCTTTAGTATTTCTCCAGACATATTGCCCCTGGATTTAATATTCATGAATACAACTTTATTCCGAACTGTGAAAGTACTTCCAACTTGACGTTTTAGTTTCAGATCACTATCCATAAACCTGAGTGGGAAACCATTCTACTTTAAAGGAACTAACTATTTAACAAAAGGAACAGTGTGAAATAAATCTTTTAAAGTTCGTAGAAGTCGAAGATAATTTTCCGCATGAAAAAGTGATATCACCTAGAGAACCAATAAAAACTTGGAGGTACTGAATAATTCTTTCGTCTACATATGTGAAACCTTCACAGTAGTACTCCCAGGACATTAAAATATATTTAACCAACTAAGCAAAGTCCCAGGAGTCCACATTCCAAGCCTCAGTTAACCCGCGATTACCAACGGTCGCTGTCCAGCCTCACTGGAGATAACTATATCATAATTGATATGGTCGAACTCCAAAATTAATGGATTCCTATTACAAGCTCGGAAAATCTAGTACAAAGCTGGTTGCTAGTAATCAATGTAGTAATTATTTATAATGGCAGTTTTTATGAACACTTTATTCACAGTGAACATACATTATATCACAGACTAATGACAAAATGAAAACTATTTAAAATCAGAAGGTATTATACACAGTTCTATCTTGATTATTACACTCTCTGAATAAGGAAGCACCAATTATCATCAACAATCTTTTGTTTGCAAATAAGTGAAGCCAAAAGCTGTTTCATCCATATATTTACACATTATACAGACTTTTTTAAAACTACTAAGATAAAAACTTACTGTTCGTAATCTGATACTGCTGCTCTATATAATAATTGGTTGAGAACTATGAAAGCTCCACTGATCATTGGGGCATAATATTGACATTTTTCCCATAATGAACAATTAGGACGCAGATGAATAATTGCTTTGAAACGAAATACTAGAAATACAATCCACCAAAACAATAAACAAGTCCATAACACTGCAACGTGTTCAGGTCTGAAGGAAATTATACATGAACAGCAATAAAGATGAGTAGTACATTTTCGAACTAATTATGACTTATAGTATTGCTATATAAAATTCAGTCAAGATGACTTTGATTGTTGTTAGAGGTATGAGAGCAATTGATACTACCTGGTTTTCCTCACCAAGGAAAAACAATACTTATTAAGGAATCTGAAAAACAAACTGGGTTAAGAGTATTCTTGCTGATTTGGTAGCATTACTGCAGAACCTAATGGACAACTGCCTGAGACTAATCAAACAACGCTTTATTGTGAGTTTTTTTTCTACATTTTACAGTCCCTATTGTTAGCGATGGAAATATGTGGAGTAAGGTGAGAAGTGGTCTCTTAAGGTTAAAAGCTCTAAAACTCCTGCAGTTGTGATAAACCAACATCGTTGCAAGTTCTGGTTGTCTGAGAGGAACACGTAAATGGCCGCGAGCTCCCCATAGAGTCAGTAACACGGCCTTTTACTTGGATTAGGATTCAAGACTTCCAATCTTACTGTTCTACAATCAACCTTCCTGGTATAGTATGACCAGAAGAAACGAATGCTCTAGCCCATAAAACTCCTTTAGGTCACCGCGATGTAGGTAGTAGCTACGGTCAGATGACGTAAAGAGGAATATGCATGTCAATCAAATGATTGAAAAATGTAGTAGAACATGATTATAAGCAACCGTTTACAACAACTTTGTACATATATAACCATTAATTCATGCTTTAACACGTTAATATTCTGTTTCTCTCCTATAAAATCAATATTCTTTCACTATAAAGTTATGTATATTTAATTGAATAAAAGTTGACGAAATTATAAATTAACTTTTATGATTTCTTGTATACGTTTAATATTATTCAAAGTATGAACTATAAATTAGACAAAAAGAAAAGAAAGTAATGAATTATGAAACTTAAAAACAAATATTGTTTTCAGGAATTCGAATGTTTCAAGAGTGAAGTATAGTTTCATTAACTATTATTTACTTTTGAATTGTTTATGTCAACCATTAATTATTAAATCCTAGTGGAAAATCTAGAAAAATTTCAACTTGGTTGAGCGTCAATTTACTTTATTAACGTAAGTGGACTTCGCCTAATTCTCGTTTGATTTTGTTTTCCATATTGTATATCATTCAACTTGGGCTACAAATCAATTAGCACAGTTGCTGACCGAATACTCCACCAACCACATCGACGATGATAACCTACACAGCTAATTATCAACTAGTTGGTGGATTATTTCAAAAAGAATAATGTTTTAGAATGAGAATGAACTGATTGTATTGTTGAATGAATGCAAAATGATGTAATATATTCACTCGTTTGAGGTCAAAGTGTTTTAATTACGTAATTCAACAGAAACTATTTCATTCAAGTCGGATATAGTGATTGAAACTTAACATATCATAGTATATTTCACTGGTTCATTTACAGGTGTATACACACAGATAATGAAAGTTGTCGAGTTGTTCCAAAACCGTGAATCTAACCTCATTAAATAAATATCCAAACTGCAATTGATCTAGAATTATACGAATGAATCTCTGCGTACAGTATACTTGGATTTTAAGAATGATAAAAATCTAATATTAAACTTTGAAAAAACTCACGATCCAAGAAAAAATGCTGTGTGTTTTAGCCAGATTGATTTTTTGCAGTAAAACTGATTCTTCGCTGAAGAAGTGGCCTACTCTAAGTCACAAAGTGTCAGAAAATCTAATTTTTCTACTCATTGTAATATTACAAATATATTATTTATTTATGCTTAATGGATGGTTTGACTATGAATCGTTCACTGCCTGTTTCAAAAGGAATTGTCTTTTTTCAGTTATTTAACAAGCTCATTCTCATGATACCGATTGTGACTGACTTTTTTTATCGATTTTACTATTCACTTGTGTTCAGTGAAAAGTTGGCAATGTAACCTATCCTAGCATATCTAAAACTATTAAAAACATCCTTCTGAGTTGTAAAATCTTACAACCATTTCAGAATATACTTTAATATATCATTATAGAGTTCATAATCATAATAAGATAAAACGCAAATAAATAAAGTGGTTATTGGTTTACATCTTTAAACTTGACTTTTTTTTTACGACTGATCATTTTGTGAACTACTAAATAACGCAGTCGTAACTGAGTACTTCATACCTAAATAAGTTTGCTGAAGAATCATATGTATACTTCGATAAAACAGCTGCCCAGTCCTACATGGATTTTAACGGTATTTGAACTGAAGCGAAATCTATGACAAAATACTGTAGTCTCATTTCTCGAGGATAAACTGTCAATCATTAGTTTACATGCATCATTCGTCTTTTCAGTGTGTGTAGGTTTTCAGATAATCAACTGTTATCAAATTTTTCATTTTTAAAAATTGGAAATGTTAGAGTAGTGTCTCATGAAACGAAGGAACTATTTCTGTTGGTTATAAAATTCCCATCAAATTTCCGTACATTAACAATATACGAAAAAGTTACATTCTTGAAAAGCAACGTAATTCTGCATATGAAAAGAAAATCTTCTATATTTTAAGATAAGTACCTTAGTAATAAAAATTTAGAAAATGAATCATTTATCAAAATGGTGGGCCTATACAATTGCTTTCTATGCTCATTTGATATGTGTTTAAATAAAAGCTGAATTAGAAAATTATCGATAACAAGTTGAAACATGTAAAATCAACTGCAGCATTAACAAACACTATTTTAGAATAATTAGTTTACTAAATAAAAGCATACAACTACTTATCATGATGAAATGTTATTAAACTTTATTGGTTTGCAGCTATATTTGCAATTATGAGTGTGTATGTTATTGACAGAGAAATCCGACTCAAAGTCTTAACATAGCGCTGGTGGTGTCGGAAACCCTGCGAGCTAATTTATGCGGTCAGCGGAGATCGGACTAATCCACTACTCCTATGCTGAAAATGAGTTTGGGGGGATTCGAAGCTTGGGGCTACCAAATCTACGGGGTTACCCTAAATGCATAATTATGTTTGCGAACTGCATGAGTCTCGGCTTTTTTAGTTGTGTATATCTGTATGTGAATAGGGCACGTGGCGGGTTCGCAAAAGGAACGAAAGCTCAAATGTCTGCACTATGTCGAATAAAATCAGCGGTCTAAACCAGAAGGTCGAAGACAAAATAAAAAGATATGGTAGCAAATCCTAGTGAAAAGTGATCTTCGGCCCTCCCTGAAAGTACTAACTCTTATTTGTATGTCATGAAGTGCGAGGGCGAAAATCGTACCAGTGGCATACAAGAAATGCATAAGAGTCAGTTGTGGCAAATATGTTCGAAGGGAGAGTTGATCAGATAACCTCTAAGGTGAGTGAATATACTTACATGAATGCTATAAGATGCATGAGTGAAAACGTGTGTTGCCGGTATACGTATAACGTATTTTTCCCCCAGGGTGTGTATACCTGTGTATGCAGAGGGATGAATAGGTAAAAACCTATATGTTAGCGGTATACATCGCCTTGGTGCGACGACCGCGCGCCAGGACCCCGTGGTACCGACTTTCTCACTAAATCACATCCATGTGGTGGGGTTGTGAGGCTTGGTCAGCCTTAAGCGTTTAAGACACAGCACCACTACCATATTATTGACACATCCAGTGTTACTCAGCCTACTGAACATGCCGGATGAAAAACATAAATATATGTAGTGAAAGCTACGGCTGAAGGTGGAACGTGTAATGAAAATTACACAGCCCACACACTAAATTGGTGGAAATATAACTGAAAGAACTGGGTATGGTACATGGATATGAAAACGTTAAAGATGAAATACAGTAATTGATAGTGTGTTTTTGTAGCTCATCACCTTACATGGGTTTATATACAATGAAATGCAATTATTCTATGATAACTCACAATGAAAACAATTTATTGATAAATCATAAAAATAAACATGAAATTGAACTACTACTCTTAAAATGAACTTCAGAAATTCTTGACCCTATTCAGTATATATGAATGAATGATATATGATACTCAGTGGAATAATTTGCAGTTGGTAAATTGTTTTTATAGAATTATAGAACTTTTCAAAATAGACCATGAGTGCTCCTGCATTGAATTCACAGGATATTCGATACAGTGTAAGGCTAGTGTTAAGCCTATGTTTAAGGCTGGATGCAACAATAGGATTTAGGGTGATCCTAAATACTAATCCTTAATCCAGACCCTAGCCTTAAGTACTCAATGATTTCTTCGTCGTTATGATTAATCATCTACATTCGATAGAAAACACTGTTTTGATAATATGTACCATGACCTTGAAAAGCCTTAATCTTTTTTAATAGGATTGCTTTTTTATTTTTAATGCTTACTCAATCTACTAAGTAAGTAGCCTGAAATTCAGTTTCATATCGGTTCAGAACGGGAAAATATGAAAATACAGTTACATCAAATGTCATAGCAGTTGTTACCGATATCATTTTATCATCTAACTCATTATACTGACTGACTGAATTTTGGGCGTTTCAAGTCAATAGGTCAAACTGACCACAATCATCACATAAGAATGAAGTGTTCTGAATTCAACCCTCAATAGAGTCTAAAACCAAAACAAAAAAGGTCCAATATCTCTGAATTCTTAGTAATTCCCGAACTAATGTCAAACCGTGATGAAAGCTAACTTCAATTTTAGAAAAAAATTTGAAGATCGAAAGGGAAACTAAAAGTTAGATATGGGTTTCTAAAATATGTAGTTATCATTATAACAGTGGATAAAATAACAATCATGTAGAAGGGGCTGTGAATAACTCGAAAAAAAAGCTATTTCTAAAGATATCTAATATGGATCTTTATATTCTAAACAGAAATTCTGCCATGGATTTTGTATTTACAGTTCGTACCCATAGTTTATTGATTATCATATCTCTTATGACATTTTATGGTGTTTACAAAGTTAACTTCGCGATATGTACAAGAAAGCTGTCATTTGGAGAGTCAATAAAAAGTCTTTTGCAAATAATCATTCACTCTATTGAACATAAATGTTAAAAGATAGTTGAAATGGGGTTGCTCACGCATTTTAAGGCTACACAAAACTCGTATAAACCGTTAGTTTTACATATTTAGCCTCTACCTTCGATTCGAATAAGAAAGATGACACTTTATTCGAAACCTAAGTCCAAAGTTTCCTGCCGTCTACATCCAACCAACTAGTGGTCCTCGAAACAACATGATTATTTTTCAGTCTAACTGTATGAATGAATGTATAATGCTCAAACATCTGCAGCAATGATTTCTACACAAATTAGGTTTCGAATTAATAATTAATGGTCTCTGACACTTTGTATTTACTTCCTAAAGTGGTTTTTTAGAGATTAGGTACGCTGTTTCCAAGTGACAAATCAGCAGCAAAGGTGAATTTTACAATCCAGCTGCCAAAGTAAACAGGATAAGTGGGGTTTAAACGTATGACATAGTGCTTAAAAGTCAAATGGTTTGAATACTGCCAGCTTCTGATACAACCTCTATACATAATAGTAATAGTAATAATAATAATAATAATAATAATAATAATAATCTTACTTGTACAACCAGTCAGATATATCCGGTGAATGTATCCATTTGTTACCAGTTTGATGTAGTCTACGCAATAGGAAGCGATCTAATAAAAGTACTTTAAAAATAATTTTTAAAATGACCCATTTCACGCTTGAACTGACATTGCCAAGTAGAATTAACAAACTAGTCAGTAATATAAGACTTGAACTAAAATAATACCATAATTGATGTTCTTCTTCAGCCCAACTACTTGATGCTAAACTGATGGAATGTAGAACTAAGCAAATTGTGCCGAACCAACAGATAATTTGAACTAATAATGGATCAAATGAATAACTCAAATCAGCTGTATCCGAATAATAATACTGAATTATTGTTTTTTGATTCTGTAAAAAAAAGTCGAAAAGAAATTGTGGAAAAGGTGAGAAATTAAAGACAGACGAAATCTTGTTTGATTAAGGAGTTGACCAAGTCAAATATAGCAGGAGTGTATTACTAACAAAAGCTTTATTTAATATTGTACGTCTAGTACAGTATAGAATTATCAGAACAAATTACTTCAACAAGTTTATTTTACAAAACAGAAAAATCCGATAGCTGCATACATATATAAATAAATTAGGTAAACAAACTACCTGGGATCAAGTGAAATGTTTTCTTAAGAATATTAAAGTCTGTACAACTTTTAATTAAAAACATGTTTAAGAATATAAGCTATTAACTAGGTCAGTTCTTACAACCTGTCCGTCGCTTAGTATATTTTCTAGATAAGGTATTGTAGAGCTTTTATAACTTTGCTTGAGTGCATGGATTCCAATGTATTGATGTCTTATTCTACCAGAAGATATACAAGGAGAAAGATACGAATGAAATGGATGGTCAGTGTCTGATAACATAACACATGTCAGGGGTCTGCGATTTTTTTTAATGTATATCCATGAACATATTCATAATTATCTCAAAAGATTCACTACACATTCTGCTTACTGCCTTCAGCACTCTTCTCAACACACCAAAACCTTCTTTTAAAAACCCGAGAAATAAGAATGGGGAACAGAAAGGAATAATACGTAGTATGAAAGAATTGGGAAATCATAAAAGTAAATGTCAAGGAATACCAAAAGCATATAGTCTCTTTATATAATAAGTTGAATGGAAAGCTTTATTCAATATCATTAAAACTTGAGAAGATCGAGAGAGATTAGAGGCAAAATTCACATTAAGATAGACGACCTTCGATATGACTTTTATAACAAAATTTCCAAGAGCACAGACTTTGTGGGATTACAACAGGGTGTTTAACAACTTTTCATGTCTCAGGCTAAAATGAACAGTTTGACATTTAGAAGGATTAAGTGTGAGACCATTAACAACAGACTATCGTTCAGTGAGAAACAAGACCTCATTCATTCTAAGAGGATGTACACAGAGGCAGGAATCGGTGTACATACTGCTATCGATGTTCACGACTGAAAAATCGTTTAGTAGTAGTGGTCTTGCAATAGAGTCGAAAACATAAGTATAGTCTACAAATGAGCATCGAACATACTTCTTACCCTCATCTCAATTGAATACTGTTATTTATTTATTTATTTGAACAAATAAATATTGGTACAAGAGGGCACCCATTATATATGCGCCACACAAAACAACGAGAATTCGAAGACGAAAAAAAAGAAGGTATGGAGCGTAAAAAAAGAACAGTGACGAACAGATTAGTGTAAGGCGGTGTAATAATAATAATGAAAAAAAATAATAATGGAGGAAACGGAAAGGTACAATCAGAAGAAATCTTTCAGTTATGGAAGATACAACCACTTTTTATGGAGAAAGTAAAAGAAGGTTACAGCAGCATCGCCACTGGCTTCTATTCTGAGCCATATCTGATAACGTCTCTAGCCACTGTGTTGCACCATCTCTCTGATCCCAGCTAGGGAGTCGTGAAGGACCAACACAAGTCAGTCCTTCGCAACTTTCTTTCATACCACGACACCATGTCATACACTGACCACCTCTCCGCTTTTTCCAACCAGTCCCAGAGTCGGCAAATAATGCACGACGAGGGATCCTCTGGGACAACATTCGTAGAACATGTCCAATCCACCGAAGTCGGTGTTTCAAGATGGTGACACCAATTGAATTATCGTCTCTGCGCCCAAACACACGATGCCGAACCTCTGCATTACTAACATGGTGTTGCCACTGGATGTCAGCAATCCTTCGGAGACGACGATGACCAAACACAGAGAGTTGTCTAAATCCTCAACTCGGAAAGGTCAGGTTTCACAAGAATAGAACAAAACTGCTCTCACCGACGCGTTGTAGATCCGACCTTTCACAGCCAGACTACCATCACGAAGGCGCCAAACATGGCCCAGATTGGCATAAGCTGCTGTGGCTTTTACTATACATGAATTCTTCTCATTATTCAAGCCAATATCAGCACTTCCGCAACTACACAGACCCACGAACGTCTCGACTACTTCTATCTGCTCACCATCCATCGTGAGTACAGCATCAGAATCCTGCCAGTCTTGTAGAAGTACTTTGCACTTCGAATGTGCAAAGCACATACCATATCTACGGACACTGATTAAGTGCGGATTGCATGGCTTGGGCATTATCGCACAGTAAGACGATATCATAAGCATACTCAAGGTCGAGGAGTCTTTCTCCAGGCAACAGATCCACACCACCATCACTTACATCCATCAGAGCTGTTTCCAGAATGTCATCGATGGCAAAGTTGAAGAGGAATGGTGAAATTGGGCAACCCTGTCTAACCCCACTGCTCGAATGGAACAATGGAGAGAGGTGGTTGTATGCCCTCACTCTGCCTGAGGTGTTTGTATATAGGGCCTTTAGAATGTTAATAAACTTCTCAGGCACACCCTTTTTCAATAGACAATCCCAGAGGACAGTCCTGTCCACCGAATCGAAGGCAGTACTGATGTCAAGAAACTAAATACTGTATTGTGATACATAACAGAAGCAGCATCTAAGGTACTTCTTTTGCACTTGCTAGCAGATCGATATAGATCAATATGTTCTTTTAACGCAGGATGAAGTGAAAGCAGCAATAGTTTTTCCATTGTTTTGAGGAAAGGAGAAGTTATTTAAATTGACCTAAATTTCTCATTCTCATCACCAGATACTTTCTTTGATATTGAGATTGTCCTTATCTTTCTCCGCATTTTTGGTATAAAGTTAGTTGAAAAAGACCCCTTAAAGATTATCTTAAATTGATGGCACAGAACTACTGACAGTGACGTTAAGTGATGACAGTTCAGCTTTATGAGGCTTTATGGTAAGTGTAATATACTAGTGTATGCTCACAGCTTTTGTACAAGCAATATTCGTGTATTGTAGTACAATAGAGTGAGAAACGCTGTGTTTGGACATAAGTTGTAGACATTCGAAATTTAGGTGGAATTTTACAAAACTAATTAGAGTTGTATAAGATCATTATCCTTTATTTGTTAAACGATCGATGGAAAATGTCGCAGTTTTGCGTTCCCCTATCTTTAATTACAACAGGACTCAAAACACAAATATACAATCAAAAGTACCACAACCACACTACAATTTGCAAGCCTAACTAGGTACTGAACTTGGATATTTTTAGATAAATAGTTAAAAAAACGTATTGATATTTAACAGATAATTCATAAACGGTGAGAAAATATAACGATAATTAATGAAATTAAGGATTAAAGTTAGTTAGATCTTTGTTGGATGTACCGGCATTCTGAGGCAATTGCTTATCAACACACCATGCATGTTGAACGAGTCGATAGCTTCCCGGAATCAGTAATTCAGTAGATAAGGCGTTGACGTCTAAAGCACTAGTCAACTGGGTTCGAGTCTCGATATTAACTTCAACGTTGGGACCCAGGTATATCCATCTGACGAGTTCAAAATTAGATGAAACTCGTAATCTGGATTTAGTGGTATTTGCAATTCATGTACGTGAGTGAGTCAAAAGATAGCTTACAATAAGTTCTGTATAATAGTACCATTAAAATAATAGTTTTGATGAATGCTCATTCAAAGTATGTAAGCTTATTTATTGAAAAATAACTATCCTAGTATCAAATTTCACCTCTTCTTGTACTATCTTAATAAAAACAATTAACTATTAGATATAAACAGATATATCTCATGAAAAAAGAGAGTATTATACAGAATTAATAATAAATCTTTGAAACAGAATAATACAAATTAGTTTGTATGGACCATACAAATAGAAATCTTAAAGATTACCAAATCACACCTTAAATTTTCCAAAATAAAATTCATCAATTTATTAAATTGATAGTTAGAAGTAGTCTTTAAATAAAACAATATACTTCAGGATAAGTGGAAGATTATCAATATATACAGTGAGAAAGAAGGTAGTTTATATCGATTAGTATATAAGATTATCGAGGCTTGCTGGGTATTGTAAGAATATTAAGAAATCAGGAATTCATTGAACAAGTGTCTCATCCGCGTTTAGGACTAATGTAGAAGTACTCGAAAATGATTGGTTGTTGAGCTCCAAAAAACTAGGATGCGACAGTTTTCCAGTACCCCAACCTTCTTTTTTGATTGTCAATTAATTAATGTTAGTCTAGCTAAATACGTACTGAATACTCTCCGTAGTTCCAGTTTAAATATATTAATCTATAAAAACTAGTGTAAAAGTTAGTATTAATAATCCACTGGAGTCTATCTGCACTATTTCACTGAAGGTAAAATTGAAATAACTGAACGCATATTACTTACTTTTCTGTTTGTCAGAGGATTTTTGGTATCGGAAGAGTAAATAACTGAATTGAGAATCTTGTGAAACAGCAATAAGGTAACCTAAAATAAATCATTTTTATGTCCAAAAAATAGACAAAAAACTGTTTAATTTTGCAAAGGTTTACGAGGAAATTAAATTTCATTTAATTAGTATAAAGAATGATAAATATATCCCAACCAAGAATCTCTATGGTAATATATCTCTGACAGTCACACTGATTTGAATCATTCGTTCCAAGGAACAGAAGTTTCCTTTAAGAGTGTAGATATACCATCTTGATTAGTGGCCAACTAGCATGAGACCGAAGTTTAGGGTTGAATCTAGATTAACTTCAATTATATAAGGTCACACAGGTTGCATCGATATACTGACTTGTTTCAGCTAGTAGTTGTATTGAAACTTGAATGGTAGAATTTGATTAGGATAAAGAATTAAGCATGAAATCTGTTGCGAATCTCTTAGAACCCGTTAGAAAACTTATTTGTAAACATTCCGTACGTGATACTTTTGAATTTATCGAGCACATAAAAGAAGTGAATGTAAGTGACAAAATTATGCTATCGCTGGATGTGGAATCATTATTCACTAATTTCCCACTCACAGAGACCATTAATTTTATCTGTAAGTACATAAACAATAATGGGATAAACATTGGGATACCTGAGGTTTATTTGAAGGAACTATTACTACGCTGCATTTGCAATGTACAGTTCACATTCAACGATGTAATTCATAGACAGAAGGATGGTATAGCAATGGGATCCCCACTTGGTCCATTACTGGCAGATTGCTTCATGGCCAGTTTATAAAACAACCAACTCAAACGAATTATAGAAAACTTCCACTTGTATAAAAGGTATGTGGATGATATCTTTATCATTTGTGACAACAAATGTAACTTAAGTGATCTCCTAGAGACATTTAATAATTGTCACCCATCAATAAAATTCATACTTGAAGTTGAAAGCAAACAAAATATTCACTTCCTTGATGTAGATATGACAAGAAAACAAGATGGTACTTTAAAAAGGGCTATCTACAGGAAACCCATGTGGAATGGCCAGCTATCAAATTTCCACAGTTGGGTTCCCATCAGCCGAAAAAGAAACTTAATAATAACTCCCGCCTCGAGGTCGTAGAGGAGGAATTGGGCCTTTTAAAAGAGATTCTTATCAAAAACGGATATCCTCCTACATTCATTGATAAGAAATCTGTTGCTATCAGGTTATCAGTTAGCGTATATATATTACTTGCAGCTATGAATAAAATGAGTCCGTATATAATAATGGGTCTGGAATCCTTAGTGTAAAACCATTATTTATTGTTTTGATTGTGAGTATGAACACCACCTACACGTTGCTAAGCTTTTCAGTTTACAGTCGTTTAGCACATATTTAGTACTAATATAAAACATTTCATCCGAAGTCTATTAGTTTAAAACAGTGTATACAGTTTTTAATTTCTTATCAGATTTTCTTACTTTAAAATTTAAAGTGATAGTTTATTGATTAGACAGTTTATCTTTTAGTTAACCATTTCCAGTTCCAAATCTTGACACACAGACTTCGGTTACGGTGGTTGGATAGAAGTTTGCACACCACTGGACTTGAAAATGAAGTAAAATATAATGGATAAGTATTATTGGATTCCCGTTTTATGACGCACAAATATTGTGATCGTCACAAGAAATAGATTTGAATCCAGCCCTTGGCAAAACGGTGAGTGGTATTTCAGAATTTCAGACAAAAACAAAACAACTGCCTGAAACAATTGAATTGAAAAAGCATTTGAATTACCTACAAATAATCAACTTACAATCCACATTAAAATACCGCCAAATATCATTTTTTTATTATTTAAATGTTCAACTTTTGACAAAGATTCTGATTGTATACCGTTAAGTAGGTTAACTGTATCAGTAATTAGTTTTTCACCTTTTAAACGAGAATCTGATTTTACACAATCAATTTGCTTGAATTCATTAGTTGAATTTCCTTGAGCGTTTTGGCAATGTAACCAAGTGATAATTCCATTTAGCAAAATGTTATATTCCGTAGCTGTAAAAATATTTATTGAAGCAAAAAGCATCATAAAATGAAAACTAAATATTAAAAGAAAACAATTCACAACGATATCCAGTCGGTTCGTATAATATTAATGATGGAATAGTTTTTGCAACAAATTAGCATTAATATTAAAGGTATTTGATAATGATACATGAATAAATTCATAAACTTAGGTTATACAAAAGTTTCTTTGATAATTTGAATTTTTATTATTTAACGAATGTAAATAGAAACCAACTGCTATAATATTACAGATTAGATAGATTTTTGGCTGAACTCGGTTCTTCTTTGTGAACAGATATAAATTAGTGTTTGGGACTTGGGCAAAGAATTATTGGGCTGAATTCGATAGTCAACTTTTATAGACTAATGTTTATGATCAAGGTGAGAGATTGTGAAGATTTTTCATTTTGAAGTTACTTTTCGTTGCCAATCGGCGTTAACTCTAGAAGCACGGAAAGTCTAAGAACATTTAAATTAAGTATGTTCCTAGTTTGAAATTTCTCAGCAGTGTGTACACATAACCATACAAGGGATCAGACTCAAAAGCCACATGTCTCGGAAGGAGTTTGTTACAACATCATATTAGAACATTGAAAATAGTAGTGTCAATTATAATAAAAAAGACTGAATATACAGATTACGATAATAGGAGCAAGCAACATTGAACCTGGTGCATATGCATCCGTTTGAGTTGTGATACCAAATCAGTATATTCATACAGTATTTCGAAATGTAATAACATTAATGACCAATGTATTTCTTCTATTATTTAAAAATGAGAGACTCACTTCGTTCTTGACTCCATACACTTGAAATACAATTTTTATGCTCAAATTTATATGACTTCGATGAAAATACACATTCACCAGATAAACGACCAATTTGTTGCATTAACATATATAGCACTTTTAATCGATCATAATTTGTTGACCAGAAATTATACAACCATGAAGATGATAGAATGCCTAAACTTCTCTCTGGTATACCAACTCCCGTAATTAATCCGATTAATGTGGCTAAATCAACTTGTTGCGTTTGTGGCAACTGTTTTAGATTTGTTGTTACACATGTGTTCTTGAGTAAAAAATATTAAAAAATACTGCAGGAACACGAGAGTAAATTAAAAGAGTAATTGTATAAAGCTTCAATTTATTGATAATTATTACAGAAAAAATAACATTATTAGTCAGTAATATAACTATAATGAGATTTGGAAGTTCTAATTATGATTTTACATTAAATCTAAGATGAGTGAATTATTATAGGTGTTACCAAATAGAACAACAAAGATATTTGTGATGTAAGGACGATTTTGAATACAGAGACCTGACTAAACATTTGGGAGCTACTTATTTTACTAACTGTGCAAACATTGCATTTAACCTAATTGTCTTAGATTTGTTTAAACTGAATGATTATGTGAGCGCTAACTCGATATATTGAAAGGCTAAAATTAGGAGAGTTAAAAGTTATCACGATTCTAATTACTGCAACAATCAGAGACACTAAAGTACTTTTAGCTTTTATCTATTCGTTGACAAAATAAGAGACAAATATTTTGGAATTCAAGAACCTTATGTTTCACAGATTACAAACATAGTTGTATCAGTTGAACTGGTAGAAAACTTTAATTATTGAACATGGGTGAAAGATACAGAATGTTAAAAAAATTCAAAATATGTTTTCAGTAATTATAATATGAATTTATGTCAAAGAGATATTTGTAGTAATATTGTATAACTGATAATGAGAATCTCTTACTGTGCAAAAATTTATAGTATTTAATAAAGCTATTATTATTATTATTATTATTATTATTATTATTATTATTATTATTATTACGCATTGTTTCATTTGCTGACGTGGTAATAATTAAATGTGAATCTAGCCTATCTAAGAGAGAGAGATTGAACTACGCTTAAGATTGTTTTTCTTTCTAAGGTGAGAAATAATTTATTTACTCTGTATTGGTTAGCATACTTGATAAGCCTTCTAACTGAACACTTGAATCGGTTTCTTAAGCTGTTCTAATAACCACAGGTTAAATCCACATGACAAAATGAACACGAGAGAACAGACGTGATGTGTGAAAAGAACGCTTCACTCTAAGGTTAGTCTATGTACATAAAATTGAAGGTATTTATAGTATTTCAGATGACCTTGCACTTCTGGAAGGTTCTGGGACCATAGTAAACATAGTAGTGGAATAGGTAATTATGCAATCATAAATGTGACACGTGACCTTTCACTGTCTAGATGTTTTTTAAGAGCTTACATTCAACGCTGATTGGACGAAATGTTTCCCAGTGTTTTCAGAGCCCCTCTGAACTGTTTCGAGGAATACTTTGGATATCCCCAACAACACTCAGTTTTGAGTCCCATTTTAGTTGTGAGACATAGTGCTACTACCCGAAAATGAATTCGAACATGTTGTCTAACAGTTGGGAATCAAGTATTTTAATTACCGAACTATTAAACCATTTCCAATGATTATGTAGTGTCATTTTCAATAATTGGAGTTGTTAGAAAGTGGTAATTATTCATAAAATACCAAAATAATCATCATAAGTTTTCAAACTCCATACACTTAATTCTATTCACAGCTTTATTTAAATAAATACGTCACCATCGTACCAAGTGTTTACAACTGGTAATACTTTTACTATCGATAATAATGACTGATTTCTCATAATATGCGGTGCTTTATCATTTAAAAATTGTAATTATTGAAAGCATTAATACCCCCCATTTATGGTACAGATCATAACTATTTTTAAATCAAAATCAAACGCTTATCAAGTTAGAGCGTTAGGGAGAGTAGTATACAATATCCTACCATACCATAGTGAAATAAACATGGGAAATGACTTACAAGTAATATATCTGATACTGTAAAAAATACACATATACTAGTGAAACTTGTCAACCCAAGTGCAAATTCATGCATTCAACCTTAAGCGAGACTTTTCATGCCAAACCTACAGGCAATACCAATTTTCCCAAATTGAAACCGATGGAACCAGGTTCAAATCTAAAACTCCCCATAATAAAATTAGATTGTGTACGCATTAAGTCATTATTCCATATATATATTTAGATGATCGTTTGTGTTTAAATAAGAGTAACGAATGATCAATTTTACTTTTATTTTTCAATCGAAATCCCTAATTATCAATTAATCTAATTAACTGTTGTCTTTATCGATTGATTCATACTCTTAAATTCTGTTTCACTCCAGTTCAAAAAGTCGGGCAGTCTTACTACCTCAAATACAAAAATTTCATCTTGTTTATCAATGCTATTGAAAAGTATTGCAGTGCGAGTAAATCAAATCGGTTGTACTTTCTGGTAATAATAAATTGTTTGCAAAATAAACGGTAAAAGTTTCATGACCCAACAATTAAATTGAAGTAGCTAACGCAGACATTTTAAAAATCATTCTTTAGAACGACAAAAAGAAAAGTGCATCAATCACAATGCTCAAAATTAATCTCCTGAAAGTAGTCATGAGTGAGTATTGCTGATAAAAACGTAATATAGATAGGTATACATAGCTATGACTGTCGATATGTAACCAATAATTTATTATTAAATGACTGTGTCAAAATAGACCTTAAAACAAGGCTAAAGTACTTAATTATTACTAATCCTTCATATAAAATTCAATGATTGGAATGAAAAGCGCAGAAAGTGAAACAACAAATCCAACAATCAATGTAAATTGAAAATGTAAATTCATTATTCTTTTTCGTTACCAAATCGTACTTTGACCAATAAATAACTTTGTGACATTGTAAAACTCATTGGAGCTATTTCTTCTTTTCCTACCATATGTTAATTTTTTTTAAAAGCTTCAATTTCATCCGTTTCACATTTCATACATAAATTCTTTTTCAAGAATTATACTTTGAAGTGTCACTACTTAGAGAATAATGTTACTTTTACTTTATTTACATCAATCACTCAGTCAAATGTTTAACTGTTTAAAATTTCACTAGTGGAAATCATGAGTCAATTCAAGCTAGACCATCATGGAAAACCTGGAGGCACTGGACGGCCGTTACGTCCTGGTAAGGGACTCCTCAGCAGTGCGTATCCAAAACCCGCCCCTGCGAGATTCGAACCCAGGACATATCAGTCTCTCGTGCGAACGCCAAACCATTAGGCCACTAAGCCGGCACCCAACGGTGTTAATGTCTAACTTCAACCAATCCACGAAATTGCACCACCGTACACCATTGTCTTCAGTGAGCTGATATCTCACTGGGGGCGGGATCGTGGATGCGCAATGCTGGGGAGTCCCATCCTAGGACGAAACGGCAGTCCAGTACTTCCAGGTTTTCTATGGTGGTTTAGCTTCAGTTGACTCACGATTTCAACTATTGAAATTTCTAAAATCTCCACAAAACCACTTCTGTTCAAGATTTATTAAAAACTAGAAAACAAACGTAATAGCCATTATTTAAAAGTACACTTTTTTTCTCAAGTATACATTTACCTCAGTTAAATGATCATTTGTTTTATTCCAGTTCGATCCAAGCATAAAAAGGCCAGTTGTTTTTTTCACCAGTTGTAGAGCCTCCATGACTGCCTTTATCACTCATTCCATGATCGCCTGTTAAAATAAATAACCAATTTTTATTGATAATTGATGAAGAGTTCATCTGAAAAAAAGTATAAAAATTATTGTGAGAATAATAGGATATTGGAATTTCTAATTTAATTCATTAATCAAGAATTGATTTGTGTTCTGATTATTTGAGCTACAATATGTGAGGATTCTATGATAATAAACAGAAATTTAAAATTAAGTAGATAGAACGGGGTTCCAGTTTGCGAACTATGGACAGAAATTTTACAAAAGAGTGAAGAAAAGAAAAGATTCATGAATTCATTCAAAGTTCCTTGAGAACCTGATTTTTTATTCACTAGGCCATGGATTCTTTATTTAGAGGGTAAAGCTTAGCTTGATTAAAATTTTTAATAATGAATGTAGCATGAGTAGTCGCTGAGTAACTGATTTAGTATACATTTGTATATCTTGAGGGATTCGATCATATATATGTGACCAGAGGTAAGTAAACGAGTCGTTTTCATCTGCACGATGCAAAGTCCATCTACTTATATGACATTTATAGTCTAAATGCTCTATAATCTAAGACGTAATTTACTCAATTTTTATCAGTCCCTGGACTTTAGATTAAAAGCTAACCATTAAAGTGCATAGACATATCATTAGCAGGGTTTTCATTATTCCCACGGCAATTTTTTTAAAAGAAACCCACCACCCTTTTAAAAAAAAATTTTTTCAACCCGAAATTACAATATTTTTCATTCCGTTTCGTCCAATGAAATGGCTAGCTTTAAAATTCATTTTAATTGGTTAGTTATGTTTTGTCGAATTGTTATAAAACATCAGTACTTGTCGACGAAGTACATTTTAATCATCATTACGGAGGAGAGTAACGTGTCGAGTACAAGCGCTGTTGTTTCTCACGTAACAGAAATGGAGGAAGTCATTTTGACAACATTGTTTCTCGTTGCGTTCCCATCGCTTGAAGCGTTGAAGTCCGCTATCACAAATTATGAAAGATCGAATTACTGTCATTATGTAGTTCGAGATTCGCATTTGTGCAGAGATGAAAACTCGTATATTAAATTTGTATGCTGCAGACATGGCCGTATAACATCTAGCGGTTCGTCACATCGGATCAGACGGAGGAGGTAATTTGATTAATGTTATTAAAATTTTTGGTCATGAAGGGCTTCCATGAACACTCAGTGTCCGGCCTTCATGTATTGTAAGATTATAGACGGCTACTGAACTGTTGTACGTGGGAATGTGCATCACGAGAGCAATTCCCTGAGGTACCAAGGTAATTCATGGGTGCGCAGGTTAACGGATGGGGAGCTTCAAACTGTGAGACCGTTGCTGATATCTGGTACCGCTGCATTCCACATAAGGAATTTTGCTTACCAATCTTATGGGAAACGTCTGACTGATCAAGATGTCTGTAATATGCGGTACAAAGTGTTCTCACACGCGAACCTTCCTGGTAAGCAATTTGCCAATTTATAATGTACACTATAAATGATAACTGTCTATCGTATTTTTTCTTCGTGAATGCTGTGCAAATGAATTTGACAGGTCGTTTCTGTGACGTTATATATATATATATATATATATATATATATATATATATATACTTACAAATTGTAATATTTGCAAATTAGAAAGGTTATTCAATAAAGGTCTGGATTATTTGCAGTAAAGTGTTCAGTCACAATAAGTGACAAAGCGTTATAGGAAAATTGAAAATTCCAACAAATATGATTGGTCGCTGTTCTCTCTTAAACTAGCATGTTATTAGTAGTTTAAAAAATAATTATCTGTAAACATAAACGAATAATATTGGTAGATGTTTTCAATTTCTCGTTGTTGATGTTTAGACCTGAAATTAAACAATATCTGTTGTTATATATGCATTCCGTGCAAATTGCCTCTATATGTTATGTACAGTAGTAACTGATCAATTAGAGTTGTGAATATCAACAATGGGAGATTGCAAATTATTGCCAATACTTTCAGACTCGTTGAATAATTTATGTTTATCTGAAATCAATAGCTTAGGGGGATATTTGAAGTGATAGGGATTGAGTTCGAGTTCCAATGTAAATATCAACACTGAGCCTTAGGCACATTTCTCTGATGAGTTGCAAATAGAATCATTAGCTATCTAATAAATATAATAACTTCAGCGAATATTTTAAATGAACTAACTTTAGGAATCGCATCTTAAAAATTTAAAGATGAGCTGAGTAAAACAAAACATAAAACACCACAATGAGATAAATCTTATAAACTTGTTAACTATTAACAAATTAAATTTGGCAAAACTAATTTATATTAGATATTCGATAATCAAACAAATAGTAACAACTTTTGGTTGATAATGTAATTCAGCCATTAAATATGGAAAATCAGTATTTAAACAACATTCATTTAAACACAAATGATTTATTAATGGGCAATTTTCATCTCAAGTTATAACAAATACTTTAGAAACTGATTATGAAACAATTTTCATTTAAAATAACATAACTAACAGCCAATAAAAATTCTTGTTTGAATTCTATAGCACCTACTTTGATTTAATCAGTTGAATATAAGAACTAAACTACATAGGAACGTATAGTTAAGAACCAAGTGTGTATAAGTACTTATAGTTCATTACTGAGTTAAGCTGAAAACTGATTCATACTAGTTGATATTAGTTGAATTAGCAGACAGATAATTTACATATTAAAAATTATTATCAGGTTTAGTGATAAAAAGAACCAAGTTGATGATGCAATGGGAAATATACAGTTGTAGAGTTAACCATTTACTGTGGTTCTTTCAATTTTTGTTAGTGTAAACCATTGGCTTACATAAAATGTAAATGTTCAACACAGTTTATTTTTATTTTAATAATCAATTACTTTACTGATAATATATTAGTTCAGTAGAAGTAGAAATAAGTATTTTAGTAATAATTATTATAACAATTTTGCTGTACCAATATTTTAAAATTTCATTATCTCCTAGAATTACTATAGTGTTATAAGTTATGAAACTTTCAGTTCGAAATTGAAAAAAATCTCATTATGAAACAGGAAAAAAATCATTTATAAGATTTTGGATTATGCGTATTAGTGAAAGCAACTAGTCAGTTCGATGTACTTGTATCACAGTGTTGACATTAAGGCTGATGGTAGAAGGTAGCGCTTATCGATAAAGACGTTAAGTCTTTGGGTACTAAACTTAGTAACTTACTTACACCTGATACCACTCGAGCAGCATAGGCCGCCCACCGGCATTTTCCATCCAACTCTGTCCTAGGCAATCCTTTCCACTTGCTATTCATCCTTTTGGTGTCTGCCTCCAATTCCCGGAGCAATGTATTATTAGGTTAACCTTTCACCCTTTCCCATTCAGGATTCCGACTTGGAGCTTAACTCGCGAAGCAGTTTGATGATTTCCACAATATATGTTTTATCCACTTCCAACGTCTTTCCTAATCTCCTCTTCATTTGGATGCTGGTTTGTTTTCTCCCACAGTAGGTTGTTGCTCATGGTATCCGGTCAACGGACACTCAGTATTTTGCAAAGACAACTGTTTATAAATACTCGTACATTTTTGATGATGGTTGTAGTAACATATGGTTCTCTTACACACACCATCAAATACTTCATCATGGTCAAGGAATTCGATCGTCTTGCCTTTTTTGTTCTTGACTGGTCGCTTTGGTTTTTTATATTCATCAGCCAGTTTCTTGGTTGTATCATATAACTGTTTTATATTTGCCTTGCTTGGAGTTTTTTCGGTGTTGTTGCTAGTTCTTCACGTATTTCTGTTTGTCAGCTCTAGTGCTCTTCCTCATCACCTGCTTGTTTGCTTCTATTTGTTTAGCTTGTGTCTTGACTTTCTCTGCTCTTGTTCTACTGTTTTTAATTACTGTCTTCTTGGCCTTCGTTTCTTGAATGCTGTCCAGGGTTTCGATAGAGATCCGTTCTTATAATCATGCCTCTTGAGACTCAGAACCTCCTAACATGTTGAAGTTAGTGCTCCTTTGACCCCTTCCACATTGTCCTTCATAGAAGTTTTTTTCTTCTTTGAGTAGATCTCGTAGTGCTTGGAACCAGTTGTTGAGATCTATCTTGATTCGTTGAGTTTAATAGCATCTCGAATGAAGGCTGTATTGAATTTTGTAATTTTGTCTCCTCAGCTGCCTAGTGTTTCTTTAGCTTCAGTTTCATCTTGGTAACAACCAGGTGGTGATCTGAATCTACGTCAGCTCCTCTTGTGGTTCTCACGTCCTCAATCGACTTTCTGAATTTTTTAGTGATGCAAATATTATGACCAATCTGGTTCTCTGTGGTGTGAGCGGTAAGACCCATGTAGCTTTGTGTATGTGTTTGTGGGGGAACAACTAATTTGTTGAATGCACATAGATTTGCAAATCCCTTACCATTCTCGTTCCTTTCTCCCAGTCCATGTCGTCCCATGATATCTTCATATCCGGTGTTATTCATTCCGACTTTGGCGTTTAGGTCTCCCTTCAGGATGGTCAGGACGTTTTCTGGGTACTTCACTATGAGTGATTACAGCCTCTTATAGAACTGGTCTTCATCGTCGTCATTGCGATCATTGGTATGTGCATAACATTGGATAACATGCATTGTGATTCCCTCCGTCTTTGTTTTGAAGGATGCTTTGATGATCCTGGATCCGTGAGATTCCCATCCTATAAATGCATTTCTTGCTTCTCTGGACAGGATCAGAGCAACTCCCTGAGTGTGTGAAGCATTTTCCTTTTCGTGACCGGAGTACAGCAGCATCTCTCCCGAATCTAAACTTTTCTGTCTAGTTTGGGTTCGATGGGCCTCACTGATTCTGAGCACCGTTAAATTGTATTTCTTCATATCCGCAACTATTTGATCAGTCCTTCCAGTCTTTACACTGTCCAAATATTCAATGTACACTTATATTAATTGTTGCTCTGTTTGTTAGGAGGGTCATCGGTTTAGTGATTTTCCAAAAATCTCAGCTTTCACCAAGAGGCGCCATAATTCTTCTGAATGAAGACCTTTCAACTTGAAGGGCAGAGTTTAAATGGTTTAAACTGTTTTTCGCCACTAGTTTTTTTGGCAAGGTTTCTTTCTACGGTATGGGGTTGCTGACCCTATGCCCAACCCTCTTCCTTTATCTAGGCTCGGGACCGGCAGTAACCTTAGAAGGGCTACAGGGTTTGTATAAGTATTAGACAGCCTAGTGATTATGACGCTATCTGAAAAGGTTTGTAACATCCTGTTGTTAATGTTCAGGCAAATACGTTACCAGAGATTGATTTATGCAGTCTCAGATACCAGCATCAAGAAAGTAAAAGCCTTTACAAAAGATATCAACTGGTTTTAGGTTGACGAGTTCTTTAGTTCAGATTATTATCAACATCCAAACTTGAACATAAAAGCATTAGAGATTTTAGCTAATGGCCAATTAACAGCAACAACTGCTTATTCATACTTCTATAAAAAAAGTCAATTAGATTTCACGTCAAACACCAACGTGTGTGTTGCACATTGTAGTGATAATTGAACTACGTAAAAATCAGGGTTACCAATAAAGTGTGAAGGCATCAAACTAATTTAACTTCAACTCAAAAGTTAAAATGCAGTTAAAATACATTTGTAAATTCCCAAAAATTATTAAAGGCACCACCCAAATTGGTAAGCAAACTTTACGTTTATGTATACACTTTATATTCGAAATGTTTTCAATTTTACCAAATCTGACCCTTAGTTATATTGATTACAACAGACAGACTGAACTTGGATCGTTATTGACAAGAGATAAAAATGTATTAAAACAGTTAACGGAACCGAATGGAGTATATTTTGTAAAGAGTAGAACATTATATTCTATTTGTGAAAGTTATATTTGAAACAATCTCAGCGATAGAAATATGAATTCATTCTTTAGCGATTCTGATTATTATCCAGCAGAATTCCAGACAGGTTTGTTGGATGAAACGGTGGAACTCTTTAAATTTCATCCGCTGAGATTATTACAAACATAAATTTTACAAATAACGTCTTCCATATATTCAATGCCAGATTCCTGACAAACGATTCGTTCAAATATTGCAAATATTGGTATGAGCTATATTTTTGTGAATGCTGAATCGGTGCCAACCTTTAATGTTAGCAGAGTAGTAACAAATTGGAAAAAAGAAACAAGATTAATCGTGTGTTATTATGCCTAATTCTCGTGAAACTGTGGTCTAGAGATTTTAAAAACAAACTTTCGAATATTGAGAATGGATTTCGAAATTCAATCTAAAAACTTTAGTTTGAGTATTAGAACAATACTGTACGCGGTATACAAATATGTAAATTAAAGTTTAATACTAAGTTTCATAGTGAGTAATGTTAACCATAGTAAAGTGTGGATAAATAAGACTCAGTAATCAACTCAATACATGATGTAGTTTCATATAACTCGGACTTTTAATATGAACTGCGTAGGAAAATACATGGCTCCAACGGTTAGATAAGTAGAGTATTAGAAATTGATGTTTGAATGAACATCTTATTATCAAATACTTCATATACACTTATTTTCGTATCCTAAGCATTTTTAGCACCTTTCTCCACTTCAGTTGCTAATCTTTTTAACTCGTATGCTGTTGAGAAGAATTTACATACAAATCCATACACTTTATACAGAACTTTATGATGACATTCCTGTCCTTTTTGTGCAGTTTTTTTTAAGTAAAAACAATGGTTACGACGTATTCGGTTACATAAAAACAAACGCAATTGTAGATGTTGTTTTTATGAAAGAGATTAAAAAGCAAGATAGATGTATCTTTGCGTCAAATACACCAGCCTTTAGAGTATATATCTTATCCAAAAAAGCAACAACCACAAAAATTAATACTAATAAAATCTAACACTGAATCAAAAGCCTATAAGACAAAATTAAAAGAGCGTGAACCATTGATTATTCTTTAGCCAATAGTCACTGCTACATTTAGAGTCTCATGATTATAAACTCAAATTTAGCTTTTCCTAAACATGGGGGGCAGATTCGTCGCTATTCCAAACCGTTTGCCAGTTTCTGCTTGTTCATGATAGTATTAACACTGATTTTGAATGGGTCGTATACACATACATAATATAACAAGGATATTTAAGTCAGCAAACTTTGGAAACTTTATTTAATCGCTTACCATTCATAATGAAGTATCAAAACGAAATTTAATGTTGACAGTCTCACTAACTCTAAATAGTGTTAATCTCACTGTACAAAATAGTGATAGAATATCAATAATATTACAATAATTTCCATCCAAGTCATTTCTTATCTTAAAACTATAAATGCTAAAAATACAAAGATACACATTTCGAATCCAAGTAGGTAAAATAATGGGAAACAATCAATTTCATGAACAATGATTTTATCATACATTGTCTTATCCTAGCAAATTCTTCCCAGCTCTTTAAGACACGAGTACTGTTTGAGACATAGTATACTGAAACGAAATATCAGCACAGTAACAGTGACACATTCACAGTTATCAGTATTCCTTTCCACTTCAAAACAATTAAAAAGCTTACATAATGTGGACATTAGAGACTAAATTACAAATATGAAGCGAACGTATCCAACATTTAGGTAAAGAATAGTAAAAAACCGATACACATATTTTGAAAGACATTAGAGTAAAGTTATTAAAACATAAACAACAAGCATACCAATACTTCAAGTATACTGTGAATAACTTCATCCATTTCACGAATTTTTTTAGGGATGCTAGATCCCTTAGGTCCTTCAATGTGTCCAATATGATCCAACCCCAAATAATGCAAAATAAGACCATCCCATGTATCAGGTGTAGTCATCAATGTCGAGATATGACGTGTTACATTTCATCTACCTATAATATTAAAAACATTTAGCATCAAGCGATTTTACTTCATAGAAGTCATTAACATAGAAAGAATTTGTGCCTTCATAGGCCTGAAAACTTTTAGGAAAAAGCTTTATCCAAGTATCATCCCCATAAAATTGAATTTTCCATTGATGATTTACCAAACGAGTTACCCAATTATCATCAACCATAGTTTCTGCATTTACGTTGTGCAAAATATCAACAAACTTCGGATTTCTCCCTGAGACGATTGCCTACATTTTAAAATGATATCCAGTTTGTTCAATAAACCAACCTTTATTCGCGGTAGTGTCACAGTAGGGGGTTGAACAATTGAAGCAGAACATGTGGCCGACTTGAGATTCATATACGAACGAAGTTTGACCAATTTTCTGAGTACTTTGGTGAAAACAAAAAGTCTACTCTTAATGCGTCAACTACGATCATGACAAATTTATCAATCTTATATGTTTCTTCTACATCCCCAACTAAATAAAACCAAAATACTGATCAGAAATGAAACTAATCTTACTTTTGTCAACTTTTGTAGCTGGGTCATTCGGCAGTAGACCACTCATAAATATAAAAAGACCAAATGAATATATGCCAAGTAGAAGGAGATATTCATAAACACTAATTTCGTCAAGATCCCCATTTAATTAATCTAATTTACGAATCTAAAAAGGAAAATTTGTATCTGAAGGTTATAGAAGTTCAAAAATGTGTAAATAAGCACAACGATATAAAGAGTAAGAGTGAGGTGGAAAATTATATAATCCCCACATTACACTTAGTTGTATGGCGGGATATATGGAATATATAAATTATGTTAACTTCTGAGGCAGAATTTAGCCAATATGTATGACAACAAAAATAAGTACAAACTCATGTTAAAAACACGAAGTATGGTAATTAGTCTTAAAGTACAAGATATAATATCTAGTGACTATGTTCTGTCGCAAAATGTTTACCTAGAATATTTCGAAGTTGCAAAGATTGTAAATTTTCTTACAGTGACATATCACATAAAGACTAAAATAAATTTTGCTTTGAATAAACCTCTCCATCAGGATTTAGAAGTCTTCTTCGGGAATTCTGTAAAATATTTCCACAAGATAAAATACCATACCATAACATGCTTTAACTATGTGAAAATTATAGGAAGTGTGTAATTCATACTCACCAATCACGTTATGCAAGTGAAAAGATAAGGTTACTTTTGTAGAGACTTCATTGATGTTATGAGTGTAAATAATAATAAGTAAAGAAAAATGTGTGATTGAGACGTACTCGGAGGCAGTAAGCTATCTTAAACTTAGTGTTAGAGGACTGCGTAATACACCTGCTAAACACCAAAATTTAGTATATTGCAAAGAAGATTGAAAGTCTAATGTAACTTTGACGCTTATAATATTTAGATCTAATGTTTTTCCAATGAAATTTAAATGAACATGATATATTCTCAATCGCGTTCAACCATTAAAAACATGAATGATTTACTGTAGAAATGGAATAATTTGCAGTGTAAATTTTAAATCACCAATCAACTTTTAGAAATTTCATAACTTTTAACTCGAATTCAAATAAAATTTGATAAGGTTTAAGGGTCGTACTGAGAATCAGCCCGAACTGGTAATTAGGGACAGAATTTGAATTCGGTGTTAGGATCCAAAGTTGGATGTTGAGGTTTAATATAGAGAACAGGTTTTACGACTGGTCTACCTCTACCCAAAAGCAAACCCTGAATCTTAAATCCTACACATAGATCTCTACCCTAAAACTTAATCTTAATTTTGACAGCAGCAGGAGATCCCAGTCCCAAGCCTTTGTCCTTGTTTCTAAAACACAGATCTCATTCCAAGTTCCAAACATTAAAACGTTTACGTCAATAAAACCAAGACCACCGAAACCTTAATTGTAATTTAGTATACCTATGGTATATTGTTGGGTGACGTTGAAGTCTTGAAAAATGGATGGGTTAATAAGCAAAATAAGTAATTTACACAAAAACTATATGAACAACTCTAAAAATTCCCATGTGAAATCTCGAGCATACATATGGTTCAGAAATACTCAGATTTTCTAGGAGACCGTTTTAGAAGTCAGGATTGGGAAAAAGAGTAACGCTTAAACAACTGACCGATATCGGCTATAATTTAATAAAGGTTCAACATCATATAGATGAACGAATCGTTAACACAAATTCCATAGCTGCTAACTTGGATTTAATTGGTGTCGTGTCACCCTTAACGTCGCAAGTGCTAAAAGCTAAACCGACCCTAATGAAAGTTCCGAGTTCTTGTGATGGTCTTCAAGATCTAACGACGTCTTATCCGTTCATATAAACCAGAAAGAAGTTGACATTCAACGTTTTGGTGCACACCAAAAGTAGATCACCCTAAATTCTTTCCACAGTAATCTACAGCGCTAAGTGGAAAATGTCGTTTAATTGGTTGAATCTAAAGAAAACAAAAAAGATAGGTAATATTCCGGTTTTGTACTTATGCTGCTACTTTGATTTCATTTTTTACTTCGACTGCTATAACAGTATAATAATTGTCTGAGAAAGTCAAAATTGTCAGCTACTCATTATCACAATACAACAAGCATTATATAGAATAAACTACGTCTGGATAACAAACTCTTCATTGAAAAGTCTTCCTCATGTTCTCTAATATTATATTAAGCGTTCAACTAAACAAAATTACTAACAGCAATTTTACGATCATAATATCGACACATCTGACATTTTAATACTTAATTACAAAACAAGGGACTAAAAGTTTGAAGATAACCATATACTTTGTTCTCACAGAACAGCCTTACGGTGAAAACGCGTAGAAAACTATTGAGAGCGCTGTTTCTCAAGGTTGATTTTCAAGGATTTTTATAAATGAGTAGGAAGTTAAAACACTGTGAGACAAAATTGGCTTTCCTGAAGTAGTACTGAACTTTCAAAAACTCATTGAAGTTAGTCACCAGTTTTCTGTTATACTTATGAGGGATGTTTCTTACTAATTTGATGACTGATGATGTGAAAATTTTAAGTCCTCAGTCAGGTTTTCATATGTGAGAATAAATAAGCTGGTCTGAGCTAATCCTTGCGTCACGTTTTTCAGCTTCAAAGTACATATAGCATTAAAAAACTGAAGTGAGCTCAAATACATGGGTAGCAAACGGACAATATTGATAAGTACAATATCTCAACCGAAGTTGTAACTTGTGGTGCTGAATCAAATGACAATAAAAAAATTTGAAAGCCTACAGCACTATCAATCTAGCAACATATATTTAAGAACAAATTATTAGTTATCAATAGAGAGATTTAACTGCTTTCTATTTTCTCCCGAAGCATGGCAATATTTTGTGCATCTGCGGTTATCGTATCCCGACTGACCACGCAGTATCTACTTGTAGTTGCCTTACACAAACTTTTGACCCTCATACTTTAATGAAGGCGCTCGCCGGAAACCAGTTTGGGAACGACAGAAGTCTTTAAGGTTAGAGTAGGTCTTGGTAATCATCATCTGTTATTCAATCCAATTTTCCTTTGAACGACCATTTTTATAGAGTCCCAAGTAGGTTCTGATGTGGGTAATTCCCACGGTTAACAATTTGTTGTGAAAGCCAATCTAAAATCTTCAGCTATAAGGACAGAGGTCAGTGGACCTGTCTTAACCTTTGCAGCTGTTTTTCGAGTGAACACTCAGCTTCTCCTTGAAGTTGTTTACTGGTGGGACTGACATCATTTGTTCGGGCAGGACATTCCAGTCATTAAACATCAAATGAGAAAAACAAGGCTGCAATTAAACGCAACTCAATTTCGTAAATGTGCCCTTCAGCTTAGCAACCAATCAGAATGAGGCGGGAATTATTACATCCGCCATCTTTGTAAGCAATGGCGGTCGGCTTTCTTCGTTTTGTGCTTCTTTCAGCTATTTCTTTTGTGTAGCTATGTAATTTAATGTCTCAGTGTGCTAAAATGCCGCAGTTAGTGTAATGTTCTATATGTTGGTGTGAAGTTTATTTCGAATCAGCGATGTTTTCTGGGTTTTTGCTGCTTCTACTCAAGTCAATGTATTTCTTCAGGCAATCTGGCTAGTCTTGTGTTATAAAATGTCGGCCGCGTTTCTTCGTTCTGTGTTTTTTCCGCTATTTCTTTTGTGTAGCTACAGAATTTAATGTTTCAGTGTGCTAAAATCCAGAAGTTAGTGTAATACTCTAAACGTTGGAGCAAAATTTTTCCTGATTTTGCTTTGTTTTCTGGGTTTTACCTGCTGCTACTGAAGTCACTGTATTTATTCAGCTAAGCTGGCTAGTACTAACGTAAGACCTTACGTTTTTAAACGACAATCGGTTATGTTTTACCTTGTTTTCTAGATATCCAAAGCCGAAGTTCGTTTTTGTTTAGCTAAAATAATTGTTGCTGCCGCCTGTGACTCTAACTGTTCGCATGTTCGTTCCTAACTGTCCTTTATGATGTTATCGGCAAAATGAAAGGAAACAATACGCGTTTTTTAATTTTCTTCAGTATTATGGACAACACTATCCCACCAACGAGTCAAACTAATACAGAGTGCCCAGCAGTAGGGTATATCGGTATTGATTTCGAAAGGACCCAGACTTCCGACAACTATAGATGAAGTCACAGATGCTACCAATCTATTGCAGAGGGTTTGTTATGAAAAATATGCCATATAGCAGTAATAGAGGGGTTGTACTCATTACGCAGTGCGTTAAAGCAAGCTTAACATTGAAAAGCTGGAAATCTGCTACCAGTGTGTAGTGTATGTTTGCTGTTTTGGCCATAAAAGGAAGCCGAAGGGTCATGATCAGGGAGTAAAAAGGTAATTAACTGTTATTAAGCTCACTTTTTTATAGATCATATTTCACCACTCGCACATTTGTGTTTTTTTACGGTATGATGTCAACTGGTACCTAATATGTTCACCCTTACGATGAAAAGTACCTGCAAATTTTCACCTTCATATTCGAATTATTTTTGGACAACTGTCTTACAGTCTGAGTGCTTCGTACGCCCCGAGAAACTCTATTTCTACAACATTCGTAGTTCCAGTATAACTTTCTCACGCAGTAAGTTCAAATTAGACACTAGTCTTTCTAAATAAGCCTGTTAAGCTAATATCCGTATTCTCTATTTCAGTTAATCGATGAAGACATGTACCACGTGCATCTGCTGTATACTGCCATTTTACTCCAATTCTAACTGTTATATCTTACTTTTGAATAATAAAATTGCTATATGCAGCAAATACAGACTTATTTGTTTTGATGGAGGTAGGGGGTTCATGGGATTTTCAGCAGGACCGTATTAATATTCTCACTAAAGAGCTAAGCGAGTGCGTAAACCAGTGTAAGGTACCATACGGGGTGCATTTGAGTTACTAGTGTTCCATTAGTGCGGGTAGGGGCATTGCTTGCTTGTCATATGGCATTTGAATAGAAGCTATAAGATAAGGCGCAGGTACGGTTAGGATGTGTAACGCGTGTCCATCCATCAGCTGCCGTGACAACCCATGGTGGTTAGAATAAGCTATGAGAGGACCCGAGTCTGTAG